CTTCGTGTTTGCGAGGAAGGCTTCTCCGTAAACAACCCCTCCTGTGATCCACTGGCCACAGACCCAAAATTTTGCTGCTGCAATGCGTGATGTGGCAAAAAGGTCGGGTTGCCATCCTGCGACAATGGATCGACAAGCGAACGACGGCACAAATGCCACCCCGGTCTGCTTTCCTCCGATCGCGAATTTGGCATCAGTCTTAAAGGGCGCTGGGTGGCCCGTGAGCAACTTGCGAGGAGGGGACAAAAGTTTCAATTCTCTTCGAACCTTATGCTCACCTGCTCTCACTGATGGCGAAAATACCTGGAGGCAGATCCTTGATGCGGTCACTCTTAAACAGGAGTCCACTCGGGTTTATGGCTCCAAGAGACCATTCACCGGCAAGCGCCCCAGTGGCATCCGGACATGGACCTGGTACAATGGCTTCTCCAATTACGACGCGATCCCATTACAATGACCCTAACGAGGTATGACACGCTGACATGACGTGGTCTATCATAAGGTCGGACACGCTGCTCCTCCGAAACAGGGAAGAGAAAACGTGCATCAGTGGCAAATGCAACCCACTTGCGATGGGCCAAGCTCGGATGATTAGGCATCGGCACGGTGCACTGAACTGGAGTCCACCGCCGACCGAGCCGGAGACAATTGAAATAGGTATCTCTGACATTATCGCCCCCATCCAGTGGCTGTGGTGCGGCGTGCATGACCCCAGGGCACGATGCAACCAAACTCCAAAGCGGAGTGGAGGGCATGCCTTGTGGTGCACATGGAGCCGTCTCAGGTAGACGACCCAACCCTTCTGGCCGTGTCGGGGTTCTGCTCACCACAGCGCAGACCATCCTAGGAGGAAGCATTGGAGGAAGTGCAGTCGAATCTTGTCGTGAAAGAAGTTCTACAGCACCCCACGCATGAAAGGCGGATGGCATGAGACCCCTCTCTCTTGTTCCACCCAAACTCTGCACCTCCAACCCAAGGGCAGGCCCAGGCCGAAATTTGGCAACGGTGGCAGTTACATGTCCAATGCAGGAAGTCGCACCTTGGTGGCGAAACAATGGAGATACCGCTGCGAGCAGTTGGAGGAAGCTGCACCAACCCTACATCAAGCGAAGCGCTAGGCCGGTCGAGGCCAGAAGCATTCCCTTCATCCTCACATGACATGCCTCCAAACTTCAAAACATAGGCCTCGGTCAATGGTCGCCTGGTAGGACCTAGAACTGGATTCCCGACATCCTTGGCAATGACTTTATCCCTTATCCGATTGGATGAATCTTCGAAAATGGTACCATCTGGAGGTATGAACACAAAGTGGTGCTTGGCAGGATCACCTAGTGTGGGACTTCTGAGAACCTTGGGCCACTTGGTACAAGGCATGGCAATGAGCCGACCTGGGCTGTTTAAAGCAACCTCGTGGCCAGGCATGCACGTGCTCTTAAAGTGGGGAGCATGTCTGCCACATGCGGCCTCCAATCGACAGTATGGGTGGACTCTGTGCAACCGACTTTTGTGTTGGGAGGTGAAAGAGGATTCGACCTGATCAAAGTCTGCCAAACCATGCTTGCATCTCCACAGACTCACAAGGAGTCGAGGGGGCCCAACTGGTCCAAGATGCCCATCCCTAGGTCTCGGTGCCACTGCAATATCCTGGAGACATTTCCACGGAAAGGCCAAGGTGCAAAGGATTGGCCCGTCTGGAAGACCGTCCTCGCCACAACCTTGGGTGGGCGGAGCTGCAAAGGCTTTGCGAGTGCAATGCTCAACTGTGTCAGTGGAGGAACTAAGCCATGGGTAGACCTTGTGCAATCGACTGTTGTGCTGGCTAAGGAAAAAGAACACACGGTCAAACCAGGCCGCGTTGACAAGTATTTTGTCCTCAAGAACGGCAGATATATTTAATATATCTGTTTTCAAGCCTCTGTGGTGCCGAAAGTGCGGCCCAGACCGGGCTGCATCGTCAGCATCTTCTGCACCCATGCTCTTGACTGCTGAGCCATGCTGCTTCTGACGGGCCAAATGAGCCCCCGGAGTCGACAGCTGATGAAAAACAAACCTCAAGGCAATGTGAAATCTGGGCAGGGCACTCAACGGCTCGAGAAGCCAAAGTCCTAAAACTGCCATGGAGCTCTCCAATTGGGTTCTCCAAGCCATGCTGGCTCGGTGCGGTGATCTCACCTCTATTACTGAGACGCAAAAGCTCAGAATGCCTGCCTACGACAAACCCACACATGTCGGTGACCATGCAGAGCCATTTGTGGGCCTGGAGGATGGAAATATGCTTGTGTAGCATAATTCAAAACTTTCCTCCACCAACACTGGGTCAACTTGCCCGGCCTACTTGGAGAGGCAGTCTCATCGCCCAGGATGGGCGAAAAGGCAAAGGCTGTGCATGCGTCTTGTTCATCCAGGGTGGCAATGAGACCATGCCTATGGTGGACTTTGTGCAATCGACGCTTGTGCTGGCTGACGAGATGAGGCCGGACATGACCGAAGAGGGCCCGCGCAACCAGAAAGTCAAATGTCAAACAGTAGACCTGCACGAATGACGCAGCTTTGCCAAGATGCACAGCCCCTATTGGCATCAAAGCTACTGCGCGAGAAGGACCTAAACCATCACAATTGGAACCGATTCGAACAAAGTTGGTGGGAACAAAGGACTCACACAATGCCCATATTAGGGCGGGAAACCCAGTTGACAATGCCGAAGCTCTTGAACCACCAAGGAGCCCCCAAAATGGAACCACAAAGTCTTGCTGACAGTGCATGGAAGCTTCATTTCCCCTGCTGAAAAGCACATGCCTGTCAACGGCCAACTTACGCAAGCAAGCGGCAATGCTGAGTCGTGGGTGGACCCTGAGCTTCAAACGAATGTGCCGGCAAAAGTCAAGGGGCCCAATGCAACCATGGAAGGACAAGGCAGTGCACTCTTGACTGCCCCTAAAGGCGAACAGCCCTGAAGTCACCATGTCCCAAAGATGAGCCCTCGGAGGCACCAACTCTACACGGAAGGCAACAATGCCGGCGCGGGAACCCTGCGGGGTCGAACGCAAAGGAAAGCTCTCAATTGTGAACAGGCACGACTTCGGAAGGTTCCTGGTGCAGGTCACTGGAGTTGGCGGACTGGAACCAAGGACCACCCTGCAACCCTTAGCAAGCCAAAAGTCCTGTCAGCTGTCGACCTACGCTGAAAGGCCACTTGTTGGGGCTGGCGGTAGACCTTGTGCAGTCGACTCTTGTGCTGGCTATCGAAAAGGGGCCGGACATGGCCAGGTTTGGCGACCACTGCATGTCCCTGGTGCCTCAGAGAAGTGGGTGAAGGCTTCACCTCAGCCGCTCTCAGATACACCTTGTTGACCATCAACATTGTCTGGATTTCCAAGTGGTTCAATCTGAAACAAAGCTGCGGCTGACACGGATGGAAATATGCCTGTGCAGCATAGTTCAAAGCTTTCCTCCACCTACACCGGATTGTCCCGCCTGACCAACTTGGAAGGAAAGTCACGTCACCTCGGCTGGGCGAAACGGCAAAGACGCTGCGCGTGTCTGGTTCATCCAGGGTGGCATTGAAACAGAAGCCATGACTGTGGTAGACCTTGTGCAATCGACACTTGTGCTGGCTGACGTGGGGAGGCCTGAAGCGGTCGAAGAGGGCCCATTCAATCGGTATTTTAAATTGCAAACAGCAGACCTGCTCGAACGGTGCAGCTCTCCCATGATGCATAACCCCAGTCCCAGTTGGCATCAAAGCCACTGCTCGAGAAAGACTTGAACGATCATGATTGGAACCCGTTTGTTCAGATTTAGTGGGGGCCTCAGACCCAAATGAAGCCCATCTTGGGATGGGAAGCTCAGTCGGCGAAGCTAAACCATGATCCCAGGCCGAACACCTACCACCCCGATCTCGGATGCTCTCAAGGCATTGGACAGGACACACGAGGCAGAGAAATGCCAAAGTCCTCAGGCTGCCTAAACCCTTGCGTGGACCAACTTTACGACTACTGGAAACACACTTATGGCATGAGCGAGATGAACTCCCCACAGGTATGCCCTGATGCATTCCGTTCATGCAACCCCTACTAAACAAGTTTCCAAGGCTCAACTGACGACGAAAACCCTGGCCAAGCAAAGAGCGGAGATAAAATCACCGGCGCAACATACGATCAAAACCCAGAGGCTCAGGCATCTGCTGATGCCCTGCCGCACCAGTCACTCTTTCGAATCTGGCGTCACAGTGGTGCAGCGGAGACGCTTGGAGAGCATGTTGTCTAGCTCTTGCAGGTGGTGCGTCAACTTGGCCTCAACTGCATTTTCGACCGATCGTGCGGTGGCTTCTACCTTAGAGGTCAGCGATGACACCTGAGTGGCGATGGCTTGCGTTTCAGCTGTTTGCCTATTTTGGGCCTGGGTCAATTGTTGGACCTGCGTTTCAAGCTGCTCGACTCGGGTCATCACATCCATGTCCATAGAAACATCATCACTAGATTCAGAGGCTTTGACCGAGACCTTAGCTTCCAAGGTTGCTGCAAAGGCATCTAGGTGTGCCTGCGTCACATACCTCGTTTCTGCTGGCGGAGGCTTAGACGACTGAGCCCAAGGATCATGGACTTGCAATGGATCTTGGGCACCTGCAGACAATGAGTCACGTGTGCGTTTGGAGGCTACCAAAACTGGTGCAGGACCCGATGCGACGGCCTGTGGCAGATCAACTCTGGTCAGGAGGACATCTCCATGGCTCAAGGAATACACAGTGGCTGGGAAAAGGTCCAGCAGCGTGCAAACTCCAAACCAGACCAGAGCCATCGGGGGCCTTGCCGGTTGTGTGCAATGCTCTTGCCTTCCAACCCCACTCATCAATGATCTTTTGGACTGATTGTTTGGAGGAACCCCATGGCAGAGGCCCCATGCACCAAGTCTGCTTGTTGGGTCCCAACATGACAGCCTGCTCTTGACGGACGGTGGCATGAACTGCTTCAGCATCACCAGCTGACACCCGAAGACCGTACCTGTGCCCCACACGAATGATGGCGGACGGCTCTTTGATGGCGGCTTGCTCAGCTTGGGCCTCTCTCAACGACTTTCGCGGAAGCCAGACCGTGTAGTGATTGACATCATCTCTCTTCCCGTCAGGTGCTCTGATCTCGATGTAGCATCCATGCGATCCCGACTGCTTCAACACCGATTCAATTGCCGAGGTCCTGAACCGAATGCAACGCATGAAAACATCAGCAGAGTTTGGCGCCTCACGACGGAACTTGAGACTAATGAAATCCCTGTTCCAGACATCCATGATCATATCACTTTCCTCTCGAGAAGCTGGATGGAACTTTGGACAAACGCACGATGGCTCTCTGCATGTCATCAACTGCGGGAATATTAACGGGCGCAGCGATGATCTTCTCCCATGGAGTCGGGCACTCATCCCTAAACATGGCAACTTTGACAACCACGTTGGAGACTTCCTGAATTCGCAGAGGCTGATCGGGAACATTGCGCTCAACGAGGATGGCACCTTTTGCAGAAGCAGTGCGGAGACCAGCATTGGCTCCGCACGCAAACCACAGGAAAGCGAATGAGCTCCCCAAACTTATCCAGCAAGTACTTGCTAGGCGAGATGACTAGCAAGGCCAATCCTTGGGACGAAAGCCCTGGTTTGCCAATGTAGGGACCAAGATCCTCTTCATGCCCAACAACAACGCCTGCTGCAGTGGGAGAGATCTGATTGATTTTCAGCTGAGGAAGCTCACCTCCATTCTGCTGCCGAAAGACCCCTGGAGGAATGGCGATGTCAGCTGGATGGATCGAAGTCAGCTCAGGCAATCAGCGGGATCAAATTCTGAATCAGCTGCTCGGGCAGTGAGCCACATGAACGTCTGAAAGCCACAATCATGAGGAAATTCCTGCCCCATGGCGGAAACATGCATGAAGTGCTCGACCCGTGTTTGCTGATCAAATAAAGAAGGCCACAACGAGGCACCAGCTTGCGTGACGATGAACCTTGTTTTGCCATGGGGAGCCTGGTGAACGATCACAGGCATCCAATGTCCATTAGCCAGAATGGCCGAAACGATGCCAGACTCATCAAGAGCGCCCGAAACTTCAGAGAGCCAAGCTGCCGAAATGGTCGGCGCAGAGGCCAAATCCTCAATGATCATTGGAGGAACCCAAGGCATCTTGAAGGTGGTAGACACTGTGCGGATGTAGAATTCCATCTCATCAACTGCAACTCTGGCACCATTGGCAGAAAGCCAAGTGATTCTTGAAGTCATTGCCTCAGGGATTTGATCACTCTCAGTGTACACATAGAAGCTTCCTGGATCAAGCAATGCCTCATCAGTCAGGCGACAGCCCAAAATATCGAATACTTGACCCCTGCACCCTGAGATGGCGGTTTCAGCTCTCAAGAAGCTGGCAACTGAAATTGTTCCCTTGGTCTTGATTGCTTGAACACTGTTGTCACATACACGGATAATGCTGATCGACGAATCAACGAACTCCTCTGGTGCACTAGCACGAACGAAAGGCTTCAAGACTCGGGCATGCGAAACCCCATCCTGCGAAATTGGCTCTCTAGGAATTGGGATCACTGATGCTGATTGCAACTCGGACGAATCCCCTGATCGTGGCACAGGGGTAGGGGCAGGATCCTGCAACTTACGCTTGGACATCCTAAAGCCAGAAATCGCTCCTGTGGCCTGAAAATGATGATCAGGCAGCGGGAGGATGGAGTACTTCACTGTCGGAGAGATCACCGTCAGCACCAACCACCAACGTTTCCTCTTGGATGGCCACATGGAAGACAGGTCCATGATCGTCTCGCTTTTCTCATATCGAGTGACACTGGTGAAGGCCTGTAATACTTGTTTGACAAAGGCTGATGAAGCCGCTTCGCAAACACATTCAATCACGATGGCTGGTGCCTGAGTCACCCAACTGAAGAACAAAGCATGGGGCAACGACAGTGCCCTCTCGTCAGGACCAGCTCTCTGATCTCCAGCATGGCTGAAGGGTTGGCAGCTGAAGCCAAGGGCGACGCATGTGGATCTGGGATAGGCCTCGAACAATTCAACCACTGTGGACAACTTTCCAATGTCTCCCTCAATCACAGCTGAGAAGAAACCTAGGGTCATCAACTGTCAGGACAAAGCCCAGGTGTGATCTTGAGAAAAGCGCTCCCAAGACTGCGACCCTCGAGACACTCTTGTCAACTGAAGCTTGCAGGACAAAAGGTTGTCTGAACAACAAGCTTCTACAAAGAGCTCCTTTGGGATTGTGGAACTCAATGTCAGCCACCAGTGACACCCTCATCCCAGGGTGTAAACCCCCCAACCTGGGCTCAAGGACCTCCGGACATGGCAACAATCCTGGATGGTCAACCATGGCGTACAAATCTAGGGTGAGGCCTCAAGGATCGGCCTGCACCACCGCACCTGACTGGTAGGTTCCTTGAGCAGTCGCGGCTAACCCAAACCAACAAAATGCAACAAAGAAGGACAAGAAAATTCTTGAATACTGTAGGGATTTTGCAATCCAAACTAGCGACGACAGACATGTATGGAGTGGATTGTCAGCAGGCGAGCCACTAAAAACAAAGGAGGGGACAGAGGAAGCGAGTAAGGCCTTTCACAAAAAGGTAAACTTTCCTTTCCGGTGCCAGTTCAAATTGGATTGCAATTGAATCATTTGTTTCCTGTGATTCATTTCGTGCTTCGTTGTTCATCATGTCGTCATCCTTGCAAAGCAGGAGAAAAAAGCGAGCGGGCTGCAGTGGGACAAGTGCAAGGACAAATGGTCATCCCACAAATCTGGAATGGGGTGATGATGCCTTATCAAATGGAGCAGCAGCAGCCTGGGATGATGATGATGATGATGCAGCAGCCCGGGATGATGGAGCCAATGATGCAGCAGCCAGTGATTCATCAACCCTGTGATGCAGATGCTGCTTCCTCAGCAATTCATCCGCGCCCAGTTTCGTTTCACACAGAATTCATTCATGCGCAGGGAGCAAAAACTTCAAAAACCTCCGAGAGATCCACAAGATTTCCTGTCTAGTCTGTCCTGTGCTGTTTTTTGGGCGTTTGTTGTGTGGTTTCGTGTTTGTGTTTTGTTGGTTTTGGTTGGTGGTTTTGTGTTTTGACCACAGGAAACCTTTGATCTCTTCAGCAGCTGACCTTCGCATTCTCTGCGATGACTGGCAGCAGACTCGTGCAAAATAAAAGCGTCCTCCTGAGTGCTGTGCTTGCGCAGTGAACTCCACCTCCATGCTTCAACATCTCACATTTGCACACGTTTCCACGCTATTTGACACGAATTTGATGCGTCACGTTTTCATCCGAAACCCTCTCCAAAAGCTTCCCCCAATGGCAGCGGCCTTAGCGCCCTACTGCGGACGGTTGCGAATGGTTGCGGACGCAGACAGCTCGTCGCGAACAAGGCTCTACCCCAGACTCCCAAAGCTAAACGAGAACTCTTCGCTGTGCATTGGGGAAAAACATTCCGTAGAACTTGTGTGCCTGCATGGCTGTTCGGTTCCAGCAACTTACAAAGCACATAGGCCTTTGTCTGTTGGACTTGAGTCCTTTTGGAAAACACAAACAAGCCTGAGGCGTGCAAGGTTCCACCAGAAAAATAGAACTTGCAAAGCCCCAGCTTTACAGTGGGGTTACAAGGTTTGAGCGGTCAGCAGTTCCCATGCAGCAGAGGGTGGGCTAGATGATTGTTGGTTCATTTGGTTCCCAATCGGCTGTGTGCCGCTTTTGCTACTGTTGTTGCTGTTGCTGGTGCTGCTTGTGTTTCGCCATGTCGACACAAACCTTTGACGCACGAGATGGTACCTTGGCCCCACAAACAGCATTTAGCTCGACTCCAATGTCGCAGATGTTCAAGGCAACAAGTTTCAGTAGAGGAATCATGGGCATCGTGTGAGCGAAGGAATTTTGACCGCGCAGAGTTGAATGATCATTTTGCGTATGTAGCCTAGCCCTAGCAGTTGCATGGCGGGCACCAAGATCTTGTTCCTTGGTTGTCTCCCACAGCCTGTGGCGGAATGATGTAGTAGGTTGATTTTCACCACAACCATTGTTGCGTAGGTGCAACCACCAAGTAATTTTGAATAAACACTTTGGTTGGATGGTTTTGTGTCTCGAGCACATTTGTTTGCGGTGATGAGGCCAAGTGCTGAATTACGCAGACTCTGGGAAGTCCGGCGTTGTAGCCCTTGTTTGGACCGGAGCGATGTCATGCACAACATTATTTTTTGTGAGGTTCCTTCGACATTTTGACTTACTTTATTCAAACCAAATTTTGGTGAGCAACTACCTGTGAACAACTGTATTGAAAGATGATGGTTTGTTTCCGACCGTGCTTGATCATTGCTGGGTGGAGAGAAGTGTGTCATTTGGATGCGATGTGAGGATCCACGGCATGTGGAACAACCTGCATTACTGGGATGGCATTTGGCAACACTTCCCAGACTTCAGGCAGTTGACCAGGGGCCTCTCCTGAACTTGCATCGGGAACTACTTGGAATCAAAAATTGAAGTACTTATATATTACTTATTCATTTTCCATTTGCAAGGCATGTGCGTGTGGATGTGCCTGGGCACGGTTTAAGCCCGGCTCGCCTTGGATCAGTCTCACTGGAGCAATTTGGTTGCTTGGCATGAAGGGGTTGAGGGGACCTGTTGAAAGAAGAGAGCTGGTTGGTTCAGCTGCTATATTTCACCGAACTTTGGACACCAGGGGAAGCATTCTTTAATTCCGCGGTTGGAACCTATGAGAGAGTAAGGCTCACATTGTGGCAAATGAGTCGAGATGAGTGTTTGGAGAGCGCAAATTCCAAGGTTACGACATCATCGATCTCATCCAGCATTTGGCCTTGCCCAGGGTCATACTGGTAGGCCACTCCCTTGGAGGAATAATTGTCTCATGGATGCATTTTCACTATTTTCGCTTTGGTTGAAGTCATGCATTTTGTGAAAGTCAATATTTCATGTCATGAAATCAAGAGGTGTGTTTTTGCCTGCAACGGGCAATAGGAAAGTGTCAGACTTGTGATTTTGCCACATCGCCAGTACACTTTTTCCCCCTTTGGACAACAGTTGGATTTATATATAGATGAGGGTCTATGCGGTAAAATTGAACTCGACTGGCCTTATGCAATGGTTTATGACGTGGGGACCTGGGCTGGACTTGGCACCCCAAGGCCCTGCGTGCAGCGCTGGATGACCCATCACATGTGTTGGGGTTGGTGCTGATCAGCACTAGCAGCAGAGTGAACTCCAAAGCTCGTGCTGCTTGGCGACAGCGTGCACAGGATGCCTCGGCCCAAGGCTCCCTGTGGCATTTTGCAGCTTTGTGCGTTCCAAACTTTTTGCCGTGCCTGGAGGCTACGCAGCCATTGCTGCCATTCAGCTCATGGTAGCAAATATGGAGTTAGAGCATGAGATGCCGAAGCTGAGTGCCTTGGACAAAGCTTTTGGACAAATTGAAGGCATTTTTTGTATCTCAGAGCAACAGCAGCCATTCAAGAGCTTCGAGCACCTGACAGTTACATATAAACATATACATATATGTATATATACATATTATAGATACAGAGATAGAGAGAGGGAGAGGACAAGTTTAGTTTTGTTTGCGGCTGTCATTGGTTTCTTTTTTCAAAGTATCAAGACAAAATGTGAAACCAACGGGGAGGTTATACTCTGAAAAAGGACTCCGAACCCAGACATGAGTAGCACTGAAAAGGAGGTCCTGACAATGGGTAGACGGGTAGATGATGCTATCTCCACCCCTCCGCAACGGTTTTGTTGAACGGTGAAGAGTGTATGCATTTGAGTGCATATCCGCCATAGATCAAGAAGACCATCGCCTCGTTCATGAGTAAGGAAAGATATGAAAAGATAATATATTGTACTATTTGGCAAAGATTGTTCTTTTCTGTATGTTGTTCCTTTTGATTGTTTGTTATTGTCATTCGACGACATATTATCACCATTTGATTTGGCAAGTTTGGATATTTATTTTCTAATTGCTTTTGTTGTTCATATTCTATACTTTGGAGTGTTATCATACTCATTAAACAGCACCATATCTTCAAAGCATTTTAGAACTATCGTTTTTATTTGGTTTCTTAATCATTATTTGTATTTCTTCTATCTCACAAAATTGAAGTGCAGAGTTTCCCTGTGCCAACTGAGACCTCAAAATTTGCCTCAGTGGGTTGGCAGAAATGTGAGTTGGAGTTCATGGTTTGCATTGGCTGAGGTGGGCTGCCAGTGCTCATCTTGCAGGGTGCAGAAGACCGACAGACGCCACTGCGTGCTGGGGAGATCCTCCACAAACAGCTCGCACAATCAGAACTCAATGTGTTCAGGCACGGAGTTTTGCCAGGTTTTAATGGTGTCAAGAATCAATGTTGCTCGGCTCACATGGTCGTGCAGGTCAGGTCACAACCTGATGCCTGAAAGCTCGGATGCCATCCGCTGCTGTGCTGAGTGGCTCGCGGACTTTCCCATGAGGTCCTCCAAGCTCTGATTGCGAAAAGATGCTGGATGAAGTGCCAATTGTTGATGTACTTCTCAGTCTCAGGAAGTGTACTCCTGACTTTGCAGTCAGTCACTGATGTAGTACGAGAGTCACAGAGCTAGTGGAGATGAAATTGTCTTTCTAATTTCAGCCCTTCTCATCAGATGGTGCATGTCCAAGCAGGAGCGCATTCGTGATCTGTGTTACAAACTACTGGGCCCCGGCTAAACTTGGGACAGGACATGGCGGGAGATCCCAAGCATAATATCCAGCATCAAAGCTCACTTGGCCTCCTTTTTTGGGGTGCACCCCAAAAGGAACGAAATTAGATGGCGGCGACTTGAGACCAAATAACACCTTCCACTCCATACAACTCAACGCGATCTTTTTTGTGGCCTTGAACTCAAGAAGTTGAGAATCCCGTTTTACACCTGAACGTAGGCCCCTCACTGCTGGGATTGCCATGAACCGGGGTGGGCCAAATGCTGTGGTTCCAGCTGGCATTGTGGCGGTGATAGGGCCTCACTGGCATGGTTATCATGACTGCTGAGCGTCTAGAATTAAGGTAACGACGTGGTGGCTCAACTACATGCCATAAGGTTTTGTTCATTACGAGCTGTTGCCAGGCACCAGCCGCCTGTGACGCGGTGCTTGCTCTTTGCATCTGCATCGTTGATGGTGGTGCGCTAAATGGATCTACAGCCTGCCAAATGTCAAATTAAGCAAACAGTATACAAGGAAAGTGAAGGATAGTTTTTGGAGAGCTTGGTTAGGTTAGACAATACAAGACATCGGCCAGACAATACAAGACATCGGCCGCTTGAGTCCCTGCTTTCGTTTATACATATATATATATATATAATACATGTATATATTACGAAAGCCAGCCGATAGGCTAGGCTGGAGTTGTCGATGGGCGAACGAAGTGAGTATTAGTGTGTGTGTGGGGGTGTGGTCGCCCAGAAGGCAATTTGGGAGGGTGAAGCGAAAAAAAGGCGGGCAGAATGGGAGTGAACATGTATGGTTTTGGGGTGTTGTGATGCAAGCGATGTAATTGACGGCGAAGAGTGCATCATTAGCATCATGAGGGGCTTAGGAGGCAATAATGTAAACAGTCTTCTACCAGGGGTGGGAGTTCATTTCGATGAAGCTGCACGGAGGATCTCTGGTCGGATGCTGCTTGTTGATGAGGGCCCTGTCGTCTTGCAAAAGACCGGTGCCAACACGTGGGATCTGGCCAAAGACGGCCATGTGTGGAGGTCGTCCGTGGCTGTATGTCATACTGTTCAAGGCGTGTGTTGCACTGTCAAAATGCCTCATCAAAGTCTTCATTGGTCATGATGGCCTCTGAGTCGATGATGCGCTTTCTATGAGCCCGATGTGCCAATGGGCTTCAGCTGGGATGATCTCCAGGTAGATGCCATGTCGCCAACATATTCTCTGAAGTCTTTGCGATAGGTTCCGCCAGCGTCAACTCTGATGTTCTGTGGGAAGCCGAATTGCTTGAACCAGGTTTGGGCGAAGACCTTGGCCGTGGTGCTGGAGGTGAGGTCTGGTAGGCGCACCGCCTTGTGGAACAAGGTGGATTGGTCAACGATGCCAACGATAAGGAAGTTCTCACGCAGGATGTTGGGGCTCTTGACTGCTTGGATGCTTCGAGATGGCGCCTTGCCACGCCAAGAGATGAAGAAATTCATTTTCAGTTGGGTGGCCCAGTTTGAGGTGGAGTCTTCTGATGGCTGCCTTTGTATCGTTGGTAACCTGCGCGGGGCATCAGGGAAGGTCACAGTGGAGATTGTTCGAACTTGGGACCGCCAGAGGCCGTGCCACTTCGCTTGAGCAACTCCCAGATTGTTCATAGAAATGGGAGGGTTGCCAAGGTAGCCACGCCTCAGGTCCTTGAGGCTGAGTGCAGTGCCTCCATCACCAAACCAGAAAATGCCATGGCTGACAGCTTTCTTGAAGGGCTGTCTTGGGAAGTGCGTGCCGTCGAGACTCTGTTTCCACATCTATGGTGCGGTCTTCGTACTGGGTGGTGGCGCCTCGATGTGAGTATACGAAATGTCTCTTCTTGGGGTCCTGCGAACGATCGGTGCCTGTGGGGGTCGGTGTCCGAGAGGTTGAGTGCTCTGACAGAGGTCGTGGTGAAGATCTGCTCAGTGTCCTTGAGCACTCCGGCCGAAGCAGCTGGATCTTGTACAGGCTCTTGGTAGTAGACCTCCTGATGGTACAGACATGCGGATGCTACCACTACACCCAAGGTGACAACCAGCAGCAGTGCATCAGGTAGCAAAGAAAACTTGCTGAAAATGGCCAACCTGGTGGACCAGACGCACGACTCTGAAACGAGGTTGCCTGATGCACTGAAGCTCAACGAATGGACACAACGGTACATAGCAGTGATGGGTGCTCCACCTCAAGAAGAAGAGGCCACAGATGCGCAACTAGCTGCGTTACACCACCGTGTAGCGACAGAAGCAGCCGCCTTACGTGGACTTCTGTGGCTCCCTTTTGGGAGAAGGGCTCTCAAGAACCAGAAGTTCCGTGCTTTCTTGCCCATAGGCGACGGCTCCTTTGTGATGAAAGAGCTGCCAGGCCCGCAGAATCTGCAACAGTGTGGGAGTTGGAGAGTGTTTAAGGCGGCTTGCGTTTGTTTAAACATTGTTACGCTAGCAGCGCTTCAGCTCTATGAGAAGGTCATTGAGAAGCTGGTTTTGCAATGGCCGAAGGCTTGGGGACTCATCGCACAAGCTGATGACAAGGCAAGGGCGGAGAAGCTGGAAAAGATCAGGAGGGCCATCGTGCTGGACATCGCGGCGGGCGGAGCGCCTCCAAGAGAGTTCACAGAAGACGAACCATGGACAGCATGTTTTGGAGCTTTGGCATTGGATGAGACTTTCTGGAAAAAGCAGGTTAGGCATCCTCCTGCAGCCTGGTTGGCGAGCGGGGCACATGGGGCACCAAAGCCCCCCGCTGAGGCCATGGCTATGGCGCATCATCCGGGACCTCCCGCAGATTCAGGCGATGGAGACGAAAGAAGTGAACGTAGGCGTCGAGCCAATAGAGACAAGCGAATGGCGAAGCGCAAAAGACGGGCGGCCGAGAGAGAGGAGCTCAGCAGCTTCAGAGAGCAGAGATCCAAGGGGAACTTCAACAAGAAAGGGAAGGACCAACTACAGCTGGGCCAAAGGCGTAGGACCCTGCGCAGGGTTGGCCGCTGGTTCAGAGTGTAAAGGCAAAATCAAGCGTGTGCGCAAGTGCACGCTGTGTTTCTCACCGGCGCACCCCGACGCGGAGTGTCCGAGGAAGACTGCATCCCCCTCATGATCCAAGGGTGCGGTTTGCCTCTCGGTGGAGGGCGAGGGAGAGGGCAGGTACGCTGTTTTTTGAGTGGGGGTGTTGTTTTGGGGTGAGAGACTGGGAGTTGGGAGATAGAGGAAGACAGGAGAGGGTTCGTGGATGGCTTCGACTATGGTGGCTCGAGGGATGGCCTGCCTGACAGAGCTTGGTGGGATATTGTGCACTCAAACGGACCTTTTTGTCGAGGAGTGGTACGCACATTGCAAGCTGATCAGCGTTCAGCTTCTTGGAGACAGCGTCAGACATCTTGCTGGAGTTGGTGAGCCGCTGGAATGTCTTCTTGTCTGAGGTCTTGGAGCTGTTCCACGCGATTCCGGCCCATGGTAGTTGAGGTTCTCGTTCATAATGTTCCAGTGGGTGCAGTGGCTTGAACTTGGCTGGTGGCCTTGTCTTTGAGGTTGAAGCCGTACAGCAAATTGACAGGCTTTCAGGTCATATCGATGGGCCAACTGTGAGATCTCTGCCTCGCCCGCATGGAGCTCCATGATGTCAATCTTCGGGACGTGTTGGCGTCAGGAAGATCTTGGACGGGATGGACAATGGTCTCCGCTTCTGATTCCAGACTGAAAGGCCCCATCGACCAGGGCCAGGAGTCCTGGAGCCTTCTCAGCAGGGCACCACTTGTCGGACCCGAGGTCGGCCCTTCGTGGATGATAGGGTGTCCAGGCGGTCCCCTCATAGCTCTTGTCGAGGCTGAAGGGCGGTTCCAAGGTGTGGGCCAATTTGGTAGTTGCGGTCCTGTGTCTGCCATGAGCCATCCACAAGAGTGGTGGAGGAAGGCAGTGGCAACGGTGAGGAAGTCTCCACTTTCGCTTGCGTCGCTTGCGCTCCATGCATTGGGCGTAGGGCCCGTGGAGTTGGCGGGGCCGGCAGTGGTTGCTCCATGCAGGAACCTCTGAGCTTGCTTGGCCCATTGCCCTCTTCGCGAGGTGATGTGATCTGTTGAGGGCAGGAGAAGGAACAGAATGCGGTGGGCCAGCTATGCTTTTCTTTCGGTGCCCTTTTTCAACGGTGAAGCGGCGTAGTAGCCAGGCGCAAAGGGCACGCCACAAGGGGAGAAGTCATTTGGAAGACAGGTGTAGCGGAGGAGGATGTGATAGGAAAAGAGGTGGGGAGCTTACCAAGTGGACAGATCAGAAGTGGAGGGAACAGGGAAGCAAGAAGTGCGTTGCTCACCGTCAAGGGAGACGAATTTGTGTCTGTCCGGCGCAACCCTCTGCGCAGATCGTGCGTGTCGAGGGCGCGAAATGCAGGCGAGAGTGCGATTTGTCCCGGTCCCGGGACAACCCTCTGCGGGGATCGTACGTGTCGAATGCGCGAAATGCAGGCGAGAGTGCGATTTGTCCCGGTCGTGGGCAACCCTCTGGGGGGATCGAGTGCGCAAAATGCAGGCGAGAGTGCGATTTGTCCCGGTCCGGGACAACTCTCTGCGGGGATCGCGCGTGTCGAGCGCGCGAAATGCAGGCAAGAGTGCGATTTGACCGGTCCGGGGCAACCCTCTGCGGAGATCGTGCGTGTGCGTTTTGGCACGGTCCGGGGCAACCCTCGGAGATCGTGCGTGTCGAGGGCGCGAAACGCAGGCGAGAGTGCGTTTTGGCCCGGTCCGGCGCAACCCTCTGCGGACATCGTGCGTGTCGAGCGCGGGAAATGCAGGTGAGAGTGCGTTTTGGATTGGTCGCGCTCCACTTTTGGAGGAAGTCTCGTACGCAACGCTCGTTTTGGAGACTTGGCGCTTCACTTTTGGAGGAAGTCTCGTAGGAAACGCTGGTTTTGGAGATGTCATGGTGCTTCATTTGTGGAGGAAGTTGTAGTACAACATAGTACAACTTTAGCGCGCGGAGTATCTGGAGAGCTGGAAGATGAGAACTGGCGACTTTGTAGTACAACTGTAGTACGCGGAGCAATCTGTGGAGCTGGAAGCTGAGAACTGGCGACTTTGTAGTGCAACTTTAGTACGCGGAGTATCTGGGGAGCTGGAAGATGAGAACTGGCGACTTTGTAGTACAACTTTAGCGCGCGGAGTATCTGGGGAGCTGGAAGATGAGAACTGGCGACTTTCTAGTACAACTTTAGTACGCGGAGTATCTGGGGAGCTGGAAGATGAGAACTGGCGACTTTGTAGTGCAACTTTAGTACGCGGAGCAAGCTGTGGAGCTGGAAGCTGAGCACTGGCGACTTTGTAGTACAACTTTAGTACGCGGCTGAGTCATCTCTCGTGGCTGAGTCATCTCTCGCGGCTGCTCTGGCGCCCCTGCAGCTGAGTCATGTCTCCCGACCACCCGGCTCTCTTGAGAGGTTGATAAATTTCAGCGACTTTGCTTACTCATAAGTGGCTGCCACAAAAGAGTCATCGTGACGTTAGTATGTGTGTACTTCACCTTCATGACAAAGGACGTTCGCTTGGAATACACGAGTCGCTTGTCATGATCGTGGCGTCGTTTACTCTCAGGTCGCCCTGTTCGTGGAAACTTCAGTGTGAAATGTACGTTCTTCAGTTCTATTTGAACCTCTTCAGCGTTGTACTTGCGCAACTAAGGTTGACGTTGCACTGCCGTTGCATCGACGCATCTACGTCTACACCCCCTCACCTCTCTACATTTACATCTTCACACGCTCCCATCCGCAGATCTACCTCTCCACCTCACTACACCCACACATCTGCGCATCTATATCCCATCTGTACATCCACACTGTCGCTCCTTCACATCTGTCCTGTCTTTCTTTCTTTCTTTCTTTTTACATATCTTTTCTCTCGTCTCTGTGCATTTACATCTTCGCACGCTCACATCCACAGATCTACCTCTCCACCTCCATGCATCTACAGATCTATATCGCGCCTGCGCATCACACTGTCAACTGTCACTCTTTCACATCCACCCTCTCTTTCTCTCTTTCTATACATCTTTTCGACAGTGCTGGACAATTACATGTCTCGCTCTCGGGCCAACCGTCGTCTAGTTCTGTGAAGAGGCCTGACCAGAAGCAAAAAGGCGCATCGCGTGGGAGGATGTGATAAGAAAAGAGGTGGAGAGCTCACCGGGAAGTGAGAAGTGCGTCGCTCAGCGCTCTGGAGAGAGCGTGACTTTTAGACGATAGGAGAGGGAAGGGGACAACGTGACGGAAAAGAGGTCGGAAATACAGCAGGAAAGTGAGATGTGCGTCTCCGAACCATCACTTTCTCCTGGTGAATAAGAGTGGAAGGGGTTGGGGTTCGGCGCGGATCGAAGTTCAGGCTATCCACTGTCAGATTGGATAGGAGCGGACGCAGGTTTATGAGTCCATCCACAAAACATGGAACCAAGCCGCAGACAAGCAATGACTTCGGGGTGCTTTGTTTTCTCTTCCAAACGCCTCTTCCTCCAAAAGAAAATGGGCACCCCAACCCCCTTAGCTGTGACTGAAGCTCCGCCTTATGCCTCCCAACGCTTCCCCTGCGCTCGCGTTCACTCCCGTTGACCATATTCATATGTCCTTACGGAACCTGGCTTTCGTCCTCTCCTTTCTCAGGTACCCTGCTCAGGTCAGGTATATATATATATATATGATGAAACTACTTCAAACGGAAGAAACGCATTTGCCTGTCAAACGTCAAAGCCTTTGAGTCACATCACTCTTCCTTTCGCTTGTTTCAGCTTGTCAGCAGCCAGCGTTAGCCGCCTCTCCAGTTGTGTACCTTGGAGATCTTGTCCCCATTCACTCTCTACCTCAATTGGCAGCTCATCATCTATGAGCTACAGCTTTGGAGGCGGGGGAGATGTGACGATTTGTGATTTCAATTTCAACCTGCCCGAATTATGGTCGACATGTAACCATCGTACAAGCCTCTCGCACATGCCCCACGCTGCGCATACCTTCCCGTACTTCACAGTAAGTAGACTTCAATTCGTAATAGTATTCAATAGCCTCATAGCCTTCCTTTTTAAGCCGCGGAGACGGTTAAAAGCTTATGATCTTGGGAGAACACATCAATGCACACATAGAGACTGCCAAAAGATTGAAACGATCTTTGAGGAAGAGAGAAAACCACACCAGGCAAGAGCGGAGACATGACCAACCTACGAAATCGTTGGACAGTTGACTTGGCTCTCAGGTTGGTGACATGCTTCCTTTTTCTCGGCACCTTCAGCTTACCGTATTGTTGGAACACCTGGGTGCTGGTGCGCCAAGAAAATGTAAACTGCTGGACGCTCATACCTACTAGTTTTGACCATGCCATGGCTGCCGTGACAGGTACACTATTGCTCCTCTTTGGAAGATGTAGCCTTCCACCAAAAATCTGCAGACTTCCTGTGGATGCTCATTTGTGGTGCAGGCTGCTGGTCTTGAGGTCTTGAAGAGTTTCCCATGCCACAGTTTTGCATGTTTCATAGGTTTCAGACGAGGAAATCTTTGTTGCAAGGAATGATTTTGGCACTGACCTACTTCTTTGGGAACACGTGCGCAGCTATGCATCCCAAGAACCCATAGACTCTTTTGCTAGTCCAAAACTTGTGTTGCTTTCAAAGGTACTTCGTGAGTGGGGCCCTGATCGACCTCATGACATATGTTTGGGGTCGACGTAATTCAACTGCTCAGATGCAGGTGCCGCTGGCTGCTGGTGTGCGTTGTGCGTGCCTAAAACCATTCCCAAGGGTGTAACGTTCATTCTATCAGACCTGATAGACTTATATAATTATGTGGAAGAAGGACACGGGAATCGTACTTAGTGTTCTATGTTGTTTGCAGTCGGCAGAATATACTGAAACCACAAGCTGGGAGGTGCTCTTCTTCACAGTTCGAGCACCCTACCTGCCCTGGGCCGCTCTGCAAAAGAAGGCTGTGATAGCAAACATTGTACACAGGGCACATGTCAGGCAACTGACCATTTTGCGGCCCAACCTGGTCTTGACAGTTGCACGATGCAGCTCACGTACAACAGCAAAATGCCTAGAACCCACGGTTCTCCCCTCAGAACCATCCACAAAGCATTTGCAATGTGAGGTTCTGTCCTGGATATCTCTTTTGATGGGAGGCAACATTCAGGACATGGAAGGTTGCAAGCATTTCTATAATGTTTGAGTTGTCATTTGCTACTTTGAGAGGACCACCTCCTTGGGATTGCAGTGGGCCACACCTACTTCTTTTTCGAGGCAATTTCTCTGAGAAGAGATGTTGACAGGTTAAAATAGACGGTCCAAGATAAGCGTGGGACTGTGACGTTCTTTCTTCTCGAAAGACAAAGAATGCAACAAACATGGTGGCTTTTCTTTTTTTAAACATTTTTTCTCCGTCTTCTCCTGCGCAGGATGTCTACCCATTGCTGCCCACCTCCAAGGGCTTCCGCCTCTTCCGAACTCCGCGGCTCCTGAAGATGGCTCCGACCTTGGTCACGTGCAACTTCAGCAGTCAGTAATCTCGGTGAATCAATAGGCAAAACACTTGGGTGCGAAGAAATTGCGAGAAAGAGCCACTTGTGTGGCAGGTTTGTAGTAAGGGGAGTGTGTGAGTGCTTGAACATTTTTACTATCATGACAACACTAGTGGCTGTAGACAAATGGAACAATGCAGCAGGAAGAAGCTCAATTTCATTCCCCTGCACGCCCTGCAAGGTTTGCAATGAAACAGAATGATGAACAGGTGCAGTTTACCTGCCGCTAGCTGCAGATTTGGCGCGGAGATACTTGCTAGCCCTCCCCCAAAAAACCCACCTGCTTTTAACATATATATATATTGTTAATCTCACCCTGGAGTTGAATGATCCTAACCTTGGGGAAACCCTGTCCTCCTGTCCAAGCGGCCTCGCTCTTTGTCGACGATGTTCGGTCCACCCACCCACCCTTTCGGTAGGTTCGATCAAAAGGTCGTCATGCGAGACATCTGATTGGTAAGCTTGTGAGCTTCACACACCCTTTACTCTTTTATTTTGTAAAAGACTGTCTCGCCGGTCCATGGGAAGGAAGTCTTTCGATGTGCACATGTTCCCACCCAGTAGCTGCGTTCTCCTGCACACCCCTGTTGGTAAGTGTCCCTAAAAACTTCGAGTTTTCTCAAGTCAACTGGACAGTCAACAACCCCGACAGGTGAAAACAACTGATATCTTGGTTTCACGTGCACCCGAATGAGTTCTCCCTTTGGACCCATTTTCCAAAAATCCTCCTCATGCATAGATGTGCCGATCTGTTCAGTCAACATGGCTTCTTCGGATGATCGAGTTGTTGTCGATCCATGCTGCTTGATCCATTTCAGTCGCTCCCTAGCAGTCAGCCGTTCTTTCAACGTGTGGTTTTCGTCTCTAAGAATGTATTTGCCAGTTCTTAAACACTCCCTCAATGCACTGCTTTCCATAGTCTTTGTCAAGCAGTCGGCTAACATCGCTTGTGAGCAGACCCACCTGACGGTGGCATTATCACGAAGCCTTTCGCGAATCAGCAGGCACTCTATAGTTGTTCTGTGTTCAGAACACTGTGGCAAAGCTGTTCGTGTCAAAAGGTCGTAGGCCTATTTACAGTCGGTGACTAAACCTGCTTGATTCTGACTCTTCAACAAAACCTCAGGGTTCTTCCAATCGCAGTCAGGGTCTAGGACTGTTGCCCACAGTATCCGGATCCACAAAAGTCGATCGACTGAATTGCTCAGCGCTGCTGCCTTTGCACCAAGTGTGCTTCTGACAACTCTAGGAATCTTCTTACTATACCAGGCGACTGGAGCTACCACAGATCTCTTATTTTCCAAAAGTTCGGGTGTGGTGGCAAAGATTATGGTCCCCTGTTGTGCCGTGGTATGTTTGGTGCATGAAAATGAGGCATCAGAGAATGCACAGTAGGTCACTCGCTCGGGCTGAATCGGTAACACCATCAATGAAACACGATTCTGTTTGGCCTCTGTCAGCACTTTGTTCCCCAAAACTAGATGTTTTACCTGTGCCCTCGTGACCTCACTCTGTAGCTCTCCTACTTTGGCTGCTAGATCTGGCCTGCTATGTACTGCTGCATATTGGAGTGCTCCAATGAGGCTTCTGAAAGCGGTCCTTTCACTTTCTGAAACCAAGGATTCCGGATCTTCTTTGCGTCCCTTCCCAAGAGCTATGGGTTGTATCTTCTCGATGTAGGGGACCTGGTCATACTCAATTGATCCATCATCCCACTGCCGAAAATGAATCCCGGTATAGGTGAATTCTCCTTCTTCAAAAGCCCCAAACTTAAATTTCTTCTCTACCCTACGTAGCATGTCCATAAACTTTGGACTGCCTCCGCCAATGCCGTCGTCAACGTGAATCCCAAGACAGCCTTCCAGACCATCCTGGGAGTGGTAAGTGAAAACGCAGGGATCGAGAGGTGATTGTCGACATCCTTGGCGTTTCAGTTCATCCCTAAACTCACAAAACCAAAGAAAGGGAGCATCTATCCTGCCATATGCTCCTCCATCCAGTTGCACCTGGTCTGTCTCTGACATGTTCAGGGCCTCACGCATTTCTGGAACCGGAACTAGACCTAGGGGTCGACCGTCACCTTTTCCATGAAGAAAAGCAGTTGAGATATCAAAAGAAATCAAAGGCCACTGATGACTGGCAACCGCTTGAAGCAAAGTGGTCCTTCCATCTTTCGAGAGAGTTGGTGCGTCATTGACCACCTGGTCCAAGTCAGGGTCCTCCCAACCTATGACAATCAAACGGGCCTTAGCTTTCTTTCCTTCAGACGACAGGTCCGTAGGCAATTCGTCTCCGGATGCTGTCTTCCAAACATACAGCCATCGGCAACGCATGATGGCATTGTCGGGGATCTTGCCCTGGGATACTCTTCGAATTGTCTTGTGCTGCAACCAGGCGCCAAGTTCCTTATGCTTGGCCACTGCAAACCGTTTCTGATCTTCCTGGGACAATTCCTTCAACTTTATTTCAGTCCTCTTCTTTCGTTCAGAAACAGCGGCCAAAATCAGGGCATCTGGTGTTCCACCAGCACTTTCGATCTCACAGGCAGGTGTCACATCTATTTCCCAACATCGCCCCTGACCAACCTCCTGAAAGAAAACGGTATCCCCAAACAATTCATCATCCTCAGGAACAGGAACATCGGTGCCGTCTACCTCCATGTTCATGGAAGGCTTTCTAGTCGGAGCAGATACTTCTTCTTCAGGTTCAGGAACCAAAACATCTTCTGGTTCCCCAGGTGTCTCGCCGGAATTGGGCTGCTCGACATCTGGTTCACTCGGTTCAGGAAGATCATCTGGATCAGGTTCGCACAAATCCTGGTGACCTATCTTCCGAGCCCAATCAGGGGCTGGGACTCTAAACTCTTCGGTGTCTTTGATCATCTTCCATTCCCTAAGTGAAGCTGCACGCAACTGCTGTGGACTGGCTCGAACTAGACGATGGGCGTGCACTAACCATATCACCTTCCTACTTTCCACAAGGGCGACACGAGCAGGTCCAAACCACTGTCCTCGTTCCCGTCTCATGTTTCCACCTTTTCGTTTCCAATACAAAACCAAGTCCCCCACCTCAAAATTCTCTCTAACCGGTCTACTTCTCCGCAACATGATCCGTCTTAGACTGTTTGAATTATCCAAGGAAATGAAAGCTCTTCGTGCGGATTCTCTGAGGTCTAAAGCTTCTTTAAACTTGTTTGGTCCCTCATCTAGCGCTCTTTCATGACTCAGTGCACTATCATCTGAAGTAACGGAACCCGGTAGTCTGGTCGCACACCCCAAAACCGCTTGTTCGGGTGAGTACCCAGATTTCCGTGTCAATGAGTTTTTTGCATGGCATGCTTGGACTATGGCTCGTTTGAATGACTCCTCTTCTAGGATTGGTACTTCTAGATCCATACGGGTCAGCATTCCCTTCAGGATGGATCCATGAGCCTCTACCCTACCTAGTTGCCAATGTGATTCACGGGCCGAAACTTTCAGGGTGATCCCTAGTTCTTGTATTCGTGTCATCCATGCCTCACTCAAATATTCTTTTGCGGGGTCCACATAAATGGTCTTTGGGGGTCCTGCCCAACTAAACCAGTGGTCTTCTAGCAGATTCCATTGTGCACTCGAATCACTACCACATGGTCGAGCTACATGAAACAGCGTCCCTTCATCGATGATGTGAGTGAAGTGGAATTGGGTTCCCTGAGCATTGGTCCACACTGCACCATCCATACCGATGGTATCATTAAAACCAAGATTCTCATGTATCCCCCCAACCTTTGAAAGATCGAAGCCTTTCCGGGACTCTGAACATGCATCACACTGGTAATCACGGGCGGCGTCCGTGGACTCCGACTCTGCGTTCGTGGATCGAAGAAATCGAACAAACGTGTCGGCATCCGGATGTCCGAGTCTGTGGTGTACCTGTTGAATCCACTTTTGTTTCTCCCTATCTAGATTTAGGAAACCAGGTCCATGTCTTGACAAATTCCGAGGTGGTCTTCCAGGAATCTCTAACTCTTCCCCTGATGTCTTAGGATCTTCCTTCTTTTCGGGGTCATGATCCATCAAGTCAGTGTCCCCTATCCCCATTCTAGACCTCTTTCCTACGTTTGTCTCCTCTTCTGGAACGTCTTCAATCTTACGTTTCTCCCCTACAGGTTCAACCATCATGTCGTCTTTCCTTGGTTCCCGGCCGGACGTTTCAGGTTTCTTTGTGCCAAACAGAGTTAAAGTGATCTTCGAAGGAATCCCCTTTCTGATGCGCTGCCGCTGTGGCAGCTTTTGCCATTCTTCTTCCTCTCCGACTTGTTCGATATTTCCGGTCGATCGACGAAGTGAAAAGGTCTTCCTGAAAACAAGATCTTCCAACGGAGTAGAAGCTTTGGGAATCCTCAACCGTTCAGTCCCTCGACATACCTCTGCATGTACTAGTCGAAAGGTACAGAAACCCTGGGCCTGTTTGAAAACAGTAGTTTCCGGTTCTAGAACAATTGAACCTACTCTCAGGGCCAGTTTGTCCAGGTCTCCAAAGAGGGCCTTGATTCTCTTTTCAAAATCCATCCTACGATTGGCATCCAAATCTTTATCTTCTTGCGTCCTTTCTCCTACCGTTTGCTTCGAGATGAGTCGTCTTCGTTTCAATGCCTCCCCTACCAATGCCTCATCTACTTCTTGTCCTTTTTCAGAAATTAGGAGTTCATCAAACACTAAAGGACGTTCTTGAGGATCTATCTGTACAGCTCGAACCACTGCACGCGCAAAGTCTGACGAGTACTTCGCAGCGAAGGCAGAAAGTGGCATCCACCTTCCAAGGTGTTTCACCTGTCCTGCAATCTGCTTATGTTCATGTTTCTTGCGACAGTACCGACAGTCTAGCGCTCGGTGCAAATTTCGGGAGGTCGTCAAAACTATAGTTCTCTTTCGGATTGACTCACCCTTCCAATTCAGCCTACCCACTTCACACATGTCAAAAACTGTTGGCAGAGTACCCCATCTCAATTGCTCCAATTCGGGTTGAACCACCATCTCAGAACCTACAGGTTGTTCCAAATGAAAATGTCTTCCATGCTCTACCTGGTACAGGAATAGTTCTTCACACAAACTCAGGCTTGGTCTTTCATGTTTTCTCCCGTCCAGTATGTAGGTTCTTAGTTGTTTGCTTCTGCCCATGTTGCGTCTGGAGAAATTTCCACAAAACTTGCAGTCAGGTGATGCCCAGA